GAAAAAAAAAAAAAAAAAAAAAAAAAAAACACATCTTAGTAAAACCAATACCTTCTCAGCTTCGCATCGAAGCTAAAAAAGGACAAGAAATTCAAAAACTTAACTATGATAAAACCCATCAACTAACAGAATATTCTCCTGGACAATTAGTTCTAGTGAAATTTCCGTTTCAACAGCCTAATAAAAGTCCAAAACTTGCTGCTAAATTCAGAGGTCCTTTTAAAATAATATCAAAAATTAATAATGTTAATTACTTAGTACAATTAACATTGGGTAATAAATTAACTAATGATGTTATTCATATTAGGCGTCTCAAACCTTATCACAGTCGAGAACACACTAATAAAAACGAATAAAATCTACTATGAGTGTTAAATTAAAGATCAATGATTTTGATAAAAAGGATTGAAAAAATATGATTAAATTTCTAATATTATCTTATAAACAATAAGTCGTAAATTTGAGTCAAAAAGTAAATAAATAAATAAATAATAATAACAATAAAATGTTTTATGTAATAAACTTTTAATTTAAAGAATATTCCTATTAATTTAGTTATTAAATTATTAAATTTAATATTTTCACATAATAAGTTTTAATCTTAATATACATTTTCCTAAACAATAACCTTTTTCTAGCAATAAGCTAGAATAACTCTATTCATAAGCTTTAAATATAATTAAAACTAGACTTAAGATCAACTATTAATAAACTAAATGATTATATTATATGACTTTGTATTATCAAGTTGAAATAAAATATGATTATAAAACATATTGTTTAAACAATATATTTATTAAGTATTTAAATAATAATTCTAACAAAATTGTATTCTTATTAATTTAAGTTAATTATAACATTAATTTTAATGGCACGGTAATCATACAACTATTATTTTTTTTTTTATTATTATTAACATTATTACTATTATTTGTATTCTACATTTAAATAAAAAAAAAAAAATGTAAAATTTAATTTTTAATTTTTAAATATAATCAAAACTTTACAATTTATTAAGACTTCAATCAAATACCATTATATCAATTATCCATTTTATGAACGTTTTGCTGCATATCATATACAGTACTCAATATTTAATAATAAATCGCAGAATAATTCCTCACCTTCACATTAACTATAGAAAACACCCAACTACTCAATGAAGAGAAATCAACAAATTTACACGTTTTAAATAATCACAAGCAACACACAACTCAACTCCAAATAAAATTTTTGTTACATACACCACCAAAGGGTACCAATCACACATCAAAGAGTTGAATGAATCCTACTAATCTTTCACAAAATATTACACATACAACATACCGCAGAACCATGTCACATGTTTAAAAGAATTTTATTGCTGTAATCCCAAAAAAAAAAAAAAAAAGGGAGGATATAAAAAAAAATACATTACATAATGATACTATTCATATAGAATACTGTATTTTGATATTAATGCAACATGTCATAACAAAAATAAAGAAGCACACTTTCATCCACAACACTTCAATCAACACACAAATAGAATGACCATAGCCTTTATGTTTGTATAACTTCTTATACATTTTAAATGTAACAGCTACAAATGCTGCTTTGAGTATAATCTAGTCACCCTACTAACATACATTATAAGTAATATTAACATTAGTTTTAAGTTTGCACATTATAACACAGCATGAGGACATGCTGCAAAAAAACTGGGGTACATCTTGTAATGAATCAAAATAGAATTTTCGAGACTATCCGAGAAACTTCTAGAATAATCTTTACACAAATAATTATCAATTTTAAATACTTTTCTGACCGACTATTATTTTATTACTTTTTACAAATACATCGTTCATTTGGAGCGATGTTTACATTAATGTCCATCTTTTTAATTACCATAAGCGTATCTGTGGCGCCGAACAAACGGCAAGATTAAATAGTTAAATTTTTAAGAAAAACTAGCCTCCCTTCATTACCTTACCAACTAATTTAATATAAAAGGGTTAGTAAAATTAGCACAGACTCTCTCTTTCCATTTTATCTCTCTTGCATACTCTCACTTTCATTTTCACTTATTATTCCCTCATAATCTTACACTTTCATATTAAAAGTTAATAATGTAAAATTCACGTTACTTTTGTTAATTTGAATTATAAGACTTATATATATTTGTCAAAATAATTAATACAAGTTATAGAAATAAACTCAGTATGTTGCCCCTCATATCTGTATTTTTATTTATTTAAATTAACTTAAAATATCGACATCAACAAGGAACATCACAATTCACCATGTATCTACGAATCCATTTGGACATCAAGGTAAGTGTAGTCTTAAGACATGCACTATATTCATGTAATATTAAGAAATAGGACAGAGTGGATAAGAGGTAGGATTAAAATGATATGAATGAATCTAACACAATCCAAATAACTTACAATCCCTTTCCTACTATCTCTATCTTATCGCCTCCCCTTACTTTATTTTTGTTACATTGTCACATAACCATATAGATCAGGGATCTATATGGTTATAGGGGAGTCGATTTTTTAAAGGAGAAAAAAAAATACACGTATCCATTGAAGATGGAACACGCAAAAAAGAAAAATATGATGGTTAATTTAAATTAAGGGAATTTATTAAGTAAAAAAAAAAAAAACAAAAAGAAATTAATTTACTACGAGGCAAAAAACCGAATGGTCAAAAAACCTCGTCTACAAATTAAAGGGGAACAGAGAGAAAAAAAACAGACATTAATAAAAAAAATAGTTACACCTACACTTTTAATGTTAGAGAATACGATGAACGTCTTCGGGTACCCACCGGCTATTAATCGCGGTATTACTGCTAAGCACGGCGGGTATACGTCCCAAGTAAGCTACTGGTTTTTGGCAGTTAGGCTTAGCTTGCAAGACGTTGGGACACCCCGGAAAAAATGCACTACGTCACCACATTGTACTAATAACATATTCATCACCCAATAAGATATAACATAAAACCTATAAAAAAATATTTATAACATGACAGGTGGTATTGGAATACGCCTGCCATGTTGAGGCACCTAAAAAAAAAAAAAAAATAGAGGCAGGATTAGCCGACGCCATAAATAAAAAATTACATACTAAAAAAAAATAACAGACACTCACGAAAAGCATATATAAAAAATTAAAAAGTTGCAACGCACATAACAACAGAAAACTCACGATACGGACGGGAAATAGTGCGACCAGTTCCGACTATGGCTATTCCCCGACAAGACGTCCGACGTTTGACCCGGCGGTCCATTTGGACAACACGGCTAGCCTTTGGAGTAGGGGTCATAAAAAAACTTAATACCCAGTGCCGGAAATTACTAAGAACAATTTAAATCATAAGGCGATAATCTATGCGGTGAGCAGTGCAAATGACGTTCAAGATGGGAAAGGAGCGGTGTGAATGTACACACAAATGCCGTCCATGAACCGGTCTGAAGTAGTACACAGCTGTCTATCTAGCACGCGCATAAACAAATCACAACACCTTATCATGATAATTTTACCGACAAACGCCGTCGCAGTCCGCATTCGGCTCAACACAAATATATATATAAACATAAATATACAAAAAATAAATAGATACTTTTGTCACGTTACAATATAATAATTTTATTTAGTTATTAAATTTAGTAATTTAAAAATCTCCCCAGAGAAAAAAAATGTTTGTGTGTGTTTGTTTAATTTCTCATATATCTATAGTATGAGTAATATTGAGGACATAGAGGAGAAATCAAAAGAAATTTTTGGGGATAATACTTATTCAGAATTAGATACATTTGTTTTTGACATAATATTTTCTGACCAGTAACTCATTAATATTTTGGACGACGGAATATCACAATTGACTAACCTATTTAATGAACTGACCACAAAAACAAAAAACCACTTACACATTTTTAAAAGATCTAAGTTTTAATTTTAATAATTACTATTTTATAATTATACAATTTTTTTTTTTATATAAACATCTTGTAAATTTTTTAAATAAAAAAAAAAAAAAAGTTCAATAATTTAAATAAAAATTATTTTCGACTTTCTAAAATATTAATTTGATTACTTTATTATTATGAATATAAATGAAATTCAAATATTTTAATTAAGCAAAATTAGTGTTACATATTCATTAAAAAAAGATGATCTTATAAATGTGTGTAAAAGTAAAAACTTAGACGAATTAGGAAACGCTAATGACTTAAGAACACGTTTAGCTAGATACTTTAGAGCGCAACTTAAACTGTCAGATATAAAACCTAACTTAAGTCCAGCTGAAATTGAGCAAGTTTTTCATGCTTCATCTAATGATAAACTAATAATCGTAGAGCAGGGATCTTCAACCTTTTTTTGCAGTGGGCCTCATATTATTTTTTAATAATCTCGCGGGCCTCAATTGTAGTAACATGTATTTTATACATGAATTCAGTTTTATTATTACAATTTTTATGATTACAATTTAAATTAGTATTTTTATTAAAACATATATAGATAAACATTTTTTTTAATTACAAATTTTTTATTTTATTTTTAGTGTAATAACTGACATTGTTTTTCACTAAATAATTTGTTTATATTTGGTTGTACCTGAGACGATGCATTTCTGAGTGAATGTCAATTTACCGAGCTCTAGTTTTAGATTTCACAATTTTCATTCGTGAAAAAATATGTTCACAAGTATATGTACTGCCAAAAAGAGACATCATTCTTAATGCGTTGTTTCGAAGATTAGGATGTCTCTACGTCAATATATTTCGAATAAAAAATTGAAAGTTCAACATTATTGTACTTTTATTTTAATATTTTATTGTTTTGTAAATCAATGATTTCCATTTGCATATTTTCTGGGACATCTTCAACTGATAATGAAAATGGAATTGAAAACAAATTAAAAATTTTTTCATTAGCCTTGAAATCTAAGAACCTCAAATCAAACTGTAGTTTTAAATTAGAAATTGCTTCTACGTATTTTTTCGTTGAAGTAACATTGTATTTTGACAAACATGGAAAGTAAGTTGTGTTATTTTTTTTTAGCTGGATTTCCCACAGCAGAAGTTTATTTTGGAAAGATTTAATATGATCGAATAAATTATGAATTAATTGGTTTTGACGTTGCAATCGTAAATTTAACTCATTCAAGTGCAATCCATGAGATAGGCAAAATCATTTTTTTATTCTGAATCATTGAGTTGTTGAAATATTTTTCCTTTACTTGCAGCAAATTCAAAAATTTCTTTTTTTTTTTCAAAAACCCTTTTTAAAACTTTCACTCTACTGAGCCAACGAACATCTGTAAAATAGATTACATCACCTTGTTCAGCGACTGTTTCACTTAGAAAGTTTTTAAATTCTCTATGATTCAATGCTCTTGATCTGACAAAATTTACTATTTTTACAACATCTTTCATAATAGTTTGAAAACCAACAGATTTCGCACATAAATTTTCTTGGTGGATAATGCAGTGATATTGTATCAGTTGAAATGCACTACATGCCCCCATTTCTTTTTTAATGATCGCTATGAGCCCTTTATTTTTTCCAACCATTGATGGGGCTCCATATATTATAACTCCAGAAAGGTTATTTAATTTGATATCAAAACGGTAAAATGTCGTTTTTAATGCATTAAAAATATCAAAACTTTTTGTTGTGCCTTTCATTGGAAAAAGTGCGGTTAATTTTTCAGTAATATTAAAATTAGAATCAACACCCCCAACAAAAATTGCTAATTGAGCTGTATCTGACAAATCTGTACTTTCGTCAAGGACCAGCGAATAAAAAATAAATTTAGAAATTCGTTCTTTTAGGATACTCTCAATATTAGTTCCTAGTTCTTCTATACGCCTTGCTATAGTTACTCCTCATAAAATCAATTTGGAAAAAAGTTGTTTTTGTGCTGGATATAAAATTTCAGAGGCCGCTTCCATGCACTCTTTTATAAATTCACCATCAGTGAACGGCTTCGATTTAGTGGCAATTTTTTGTGCTATTATATAACTAGCTTTGATACTGGCTTCTGAGTCTTTATGACCTGTTTTTAAACTTCAAGACTGAACTTGTATATTTTTCATTAACAATGCAAGTTTGTCAATTCGAAGTTGTCCTACTATCATATCATATTTTGCTGCATGTTTGGTACTATAATGTCGTTTTAAATTGTACTCTTTCATCACTGCAATCAATTCTTGACAAATCAAACATATTGCCTTTTCTTTAACTTGAATAAAAAAATAGTTATGGGACCATTTTTCTTGAAAAACACGACTTTCATCTGAGATTGTACGTTTTTTACTGACCGACATATTATACAAATATACGAGTATTATGCTCGTTCCACAATCGATTACGAACTAACAGGCAACCGCCAACATTTATCTCTAGGTAGGTAATTTAATTTATCTTATCGCATATTTCCGATAGCGATGGCTAAGCCGTTATAATTTTATAGAAATACGAAATATACATGCTTGATTTTAAATTTGATCGCGGGCCGCATACAATGACAGGGCGGGCAGCAAGCGGCCCGTGAGTTGAAGACCCCTGTCGTAGAGAGTAACGTAGAACCAAGTGTAGAAGGTAAATTTGAAAGAATAGGTGAAAAGTTATCAGACATCCTTATTGAAGAAAAAAATTATTCTTACGCGAATATCAGCGATATTACAAAACCGGATCATTTTTATAATAATATTAATAACGCTTCGTCGGGTGATCAAAATAAATTAGAGGGTTCAGGTAAGGAACATTTTTATGAAGATATAGAGGATTTAAATAGAACCTTTAAAGAAGAACAAACTCCGGGTAATCGTAATAACTTAACATAGAGAAAAATTCTAGACTTACTTTCATTAACTATTTGCATAGAAACAATAAATTCAAATATTACAAGTATGGAGTCTAATAACCGATCTTAGTTGAAGAAAGCAGATTATTTTTCGGGTACTGAGGATGTAAGAAAATTTTTCAGACACTATGAAAGGCAAGTGAAATTAAGAGATGGAGTGAGAGTGATAAAATAAAATTTTTGTCAATATTTTTAAAAGGGAAAGCTAGTATATTTTTAGAAAACTTAGAAGATAAAAAATCAATTTGGACATATGAGGAATTAAAAAACGAATTTCTAGACGAATATCAACCAATAGGCTATTTAACTCTAATAAAAAATAAACTGGAAAAACGTAGGCAGGAAGAGTCAGAGTCAGTTTTGAATTATGTAACAGAAATTGAAAACTTATGTAGACAGTTAAATAAACAAATGAGTGAATAAGATATATGTACTTTTATTTTAAGAGGACTAAAAGAATCAGTATTGCATGATATTTCGTTACATGATAATAGTGGTTTGAAAAATTTAGAAGATAACTTGAAAAAATTTGAGTTAATGCAGTTTAGAATAAACAATAGAGGAGTCGCTGGTATCAGTGAGTACACAGACATTATAAATAGACAGGTATCTCAACTAGATAAATATTCAAAAGGAAGAGAATTTGAGGTTCAAGATTTAAGAAGACAGTTAGTGAGAAGAGATAGGGACTATAAAAGAGAAATAGAACGACTTAGCAATGAGATAAAAAACATTCAAGTTTTAGGTAATAATTCTAACAGGTCAGTATATTTTGAAGATCGTAGAAATAATAGTTAGGATAGGTTTAGATATACGAGTTTCTTATACATCGTTCACGTGGTTCGCGTATACGCGCGTCGATCATCGCGATAACGACGCAAGTTTACAACGAAACAGCGGTTCATTGTACAATTACATATTATAAAAATATTTTAATTATGTGTTATTAATTTATTATATTATTTATTCATAATTATATTATTAATGTATACCGAAAAATGGAAGTCGAAACTGATTTACTTAGTTAAATTTTCGTCATGATCCCTAAGTTTAGGGTATAAGATAATATAATGACTTGATGAAAGCCTAGTTTTTAAAATTGGAAGAACTATGAGCGAAATAGAGAATACGCAGATTATAGACCTAAATATAGAGACAAAAGCCCATATCCTAGAAAGAATTACGGTATGAAAATAGTGATCAAATGATTGGCTTAAGTAAGGTCACTTGTTTTAAGTGTAAAGAGCTATGTCATTATGCCGACAAGTGTACCGTTCAAAAAAACGTAATAAAAATCCCGAATATTTGACTCGGAATAATTGTAAATATGAGTGTAAAGAATTTTTAAGTATAATAAATAAAGAGAAGTCAGATTATATAAAATTTATAGAGAGTTGGTATAGTAATGAAGAAATTTATAGGATAAAAAAAATATTAGTAAAAAAAGGAAGTCGGCGATATTACATACCTTAATAAAAATTAGAAGCCGAAAGAAAACATAGAGTTTTCTCTAAATAAAAATCTGATATTATTGAACCGAGCAGATGTAATAACGCGGCGGCTGTATTTTTAACACCAAAAGGAAATACGGGAGAGTATAGATTTCTAGTACACTATAGAAAATTAAATGAACAAGCTATTAGCGATAAATACCCAATTCCGAGGTCACAAGATCTTTTTAGGAGTCTTGAGGGAGCTAAATATTTTCTAACTTTGACTTACCACAAAGTTATTTTCAGTGTCCTATAAAGGATGAAGACATGTACAAAACTGGTTTTATTACAGATTTTGGACTTTATCAATTCAAAAGAATTCCCCAAGGTTTTAAAAATTCAAAGAATAATAAATAATGTTTTTAGTGATTATCATCTTTAAAGAACAATANAATAATAAATAATGCTTTTAGTGATTACCATCTTTAAAGAACAATAATTGTCTACTTAGATGATATGTGTTGTTTTGGTGGGGATTTTGAAGAAGCTTTGTCAAGTCAATAACAAGTTATTGTTAGGCTTGTCCAGGAAAACTTTAATCTTAAAACAAATAAATGATCATTTTTTAGTTC